TTTAACACTTGACTCATTAATTAATATAATTATATTATTTATCTCTAAAATTTAATTTATTAGTTGATATTTTTAACTTTGTTAAATATTACTTAACATTTAACACATTACTTAACATAATTATATTATTCACTCTTTATTTTTCAGCAACAAGAACCATGTTGCTAAAAGTAAATATCACTTTTTGCTAATTAATTTATGAAATTGGTGTAAAATCCGGTCATGAACAGTAACAAAAAAATTTCAGCAACAAGAATCAAGTTGCTAAAAGTAAATACCACTTTTTGCTAATTAATTTATGAAATTGGTGCAAAATCCGGTCATGAACAGTAACCAAAAAATTTTAGCAATAAGAATCATGTTGCTAAAAGTAAATACCACTTTTTGCTAATTAATTTATGAAATTGGTGCAAAATTCGGTCATGAACAGTAACAAAAAAATTTCAGCAACAAGAACCATGTTGCTAAAAGTAAAGAACACTTTTTGCTAATTATTTTATGAAATTGGTGCAAAATCCGGTCACGAACAGTAACAAAAAAATTTCAATAATATTGTTCTTGTTGCTGAAATTCATTTTTAACAACAAGAATCATGTTGCTAAAAGTAAAGAACATCTTTTGCTAATTAATTTATAAAATTGGTTTAATTTATAAAATTGGTGCAAAATCCGGTCATGAACAGTAACAAAAAAATTTCAGCAACATGGCTCTTGTTGCTGAAAACTATTTTCAGCAACAAAAACCATGTTGCTAAAAGTAAAGAACACTTTTTGCCGATCAATTAATGAAATTGGTGCAAAATCCGATCATGAACAGTAACATAAAATTTTCAGCAACATGGTCATTGTTGTTGAAATTCATTTTTAGCAACAAAAACCATGTTGCTAAAAGTAAAGAACACTTTTTGTTAAAATGTGTATTATTCAAGTATCAGCAACATGGGTTTTGTCGGTGAAAATTCATATCACTGACAAGCAATTTCATGTTGCTGATACTTAGTTGCTGAAAACAAAAATTTTAGTAGTGAAAAGTTATACTAAGTTTGCATTTGTACGATGCCTTGAGCAATGTTTTCAAACCCGAACTGAAGGTCAAACCGTTTTGACCTCTGGTTCGTGGTTTGAACGGTTCAACCGGTTTAACCGATAAAACCACCGGTTAATCAAAGGTTAAATGCTTAATTTGGTCCCTTAACTTTAAGAAATGAACATTTTTTATCCCTCAACAATTTTTTGCACTTTTTTGATCCCTCAACTATACAAAATGCACTTCGTTAGTCCTTCTGTTAATTTGGGCCGTTAACCCTGCTTAGGTGGCATTTTTTATATTTTTTTTGATGACATGGGGAGCAAAACTTAAAAAAGTGATGACATGTGCATGCTAGCTGGTAAAATCGTGCCAGATACATTTAAATGGGTCCCACATCACCATCTTTGCCCATCGGTTACTGTTTTTCTTCCTTCCATGTTCGACATAACCCAGATCTGGCAAAAAATTCCAATTGCCAAAAACTTCCTCACAACAAATTCCTCAAAAAATTCCCAAAAATCCCTCAATTGCCCGTTTGCCCTCAATTGCCAAAAAATTCCTCACAACA